GACATGGAACAGATGTCTCTTGAGGTCCCATTTGCCAAGATCTCTTTACTATTTTTGTTCTTTCTTTTTCTCCTGGTGCTAAGGATTGAACCCAGAGCCTACAGCCTGCCAAATATGTGCTACCACTGAGCTAACCCCCAACCTCTGCCAACAATCGTTATCTTCACAGTACAAACTTTGTTCAGCAATGCTCACTCTTCTTCTTGCCCACCCTTTAGCTCCTCTCCAGATGTCTTCTTTCTAAGCAAATCTTCCTGCCTCTCCAACTATCACCTTTCTCCTTCTCTCAAATCATTCTGTACTTCACAGGCATCCTCACCCTCAACCATCTGCTGGGCTGGGACACAGCTCAGTGGTAGTGTTGCCCAGTATGCAGGAAGCCTAGGTTCATTCCTCAGCACTGGGAGGAAAAAAATAAAAGAAGGAAGAGGAGGAACAAAAGGAGGAGTGGAAAAAAGCCATTTGCTTTCATTTCTTTTCTTTGAGTACTAGGGATTGAACCTAGCAGCACTCTACCACGGAGTTACATTCCCACACCTTTAAAAACTTTGAGACAGGGTCTCATTAACTAGCCCACATAGGCCTCCAACTTGCCAGCCTCCTGTCTCAGTTTACCAAGTAGCTGGGATTACAGGCATGCACCATTGGGCCCAGCCCATCTGCTTTATTCTTTATTTCATGGGGATTATAGATTTCTTCATCAATTAGATTATATGTTCACAGAATAGAAGAAGCAGGTCATACTGCTTTTACTTTAAAAAGAAATGGAACTTTACAAAATATATCATCATTAAAGAATCCCAAAATAACATGGTATTTTAGACTATTCTTGATTCATATAGCTTAGGCCCTTCATGGACTCATAACCTTCAAGCTTAAAAGAACCCTGCAGATCTTCTCATTTAATTGCTATGTTTGAAAGATGAAGAAGTGGACATCTACAGAACTTGAATAGGGGCACAGAGTGACTGAGCACATTCAGGAGTGTCCTGACCCCAGGCCATGCCAGGGCCACTCTCTCAGGAACCTGGCTCTTGTGTAGGGCTGCCCATAATCTCTAGAGACCCATACAGTCTCTCTGTTACTAGCCACATTTTACTACTTTACTTGGTTCTATTTTAATCTGTCCAAAAGAGTTTTTTAAAAGCTTCAAGCCTTCTTATGAACTGAACAATTTTGTACAAGGGTTTTGCTATCAGTATATTTTTACTTTACTGGTCTAAATAAAACATGATACAGAAATGTTTGCAACATGGGATGGCAAAAGTTATTTACCTTGAGTGTCTCTGTAATCTCCAGAATCTTCTAAGAGATTCTTCAAATAATCTAGAAAAAAAAATTATATATTTACAATATATTTAGCACAATGAAGTACTGAGCCTTCAAACACTTATCTTCTTATTCAGTATTCCACCTGGTTTTGTTATTCTCCAACTTGTGCTGACTTTCTAAAAACATGGAAAAATAAAGCCTTGAAAATAAAATTGAAATCAGGACTTAGAATCAGAGCTGCACAAACCCTTAGAAGTCACTTCTTTTGTTGTGAAGGAATCAGATGATTGAGTGAAAGAACTCACTCAAATCACATGATCTCTTTGTTCCAGAGCCAGGACCAGAATCCAGGTCTCCTGGTGCCTGTTCAGTTGTTCTTTTGCCTCAACATACATCAAACATCTTAACGGCCAAATCTAGTAATATAATATATATACATATACATATATATGTATATACATATACACATATACATATGTATGTATATGTGTGTGTGTGTGTAATATTTACGGTAATGGAGACTGAACCTATGAACCCTCTGCCACTGAGCTACATCCACAGCTCTTTCTATTTTTTATTTTAATAGGAACTTGCTAAGTTGCCCAAAATAGCCTTGAACTTATGCTTCTCCTGCCTCCAGTTTCTGCTGGAATTATAGGCATATAATTTGGCACTGCACCCAGTCAGATCTAGGATAAAATTCTAAGACAATTAATTTAAGCATCCTTCAATGCCCAGGGCACCAAAGGAACTCAATACATGTGTCTGAATCAGTGGTTTTCAAGTGGGGACACATTTACTCACCAGGGGACATCTGCTAATGTCTGGAGACATTTTTAGTTGTCACAATTAGGGCTAAGGGGGTGCTACCGGCAACTGGTGGCTAGAGGCTATGGATGCTGCTAAACACCCTGTAAAACAGCCTGACAACAAAGAATTATATGGCCTAAATGTCAATATGCCCGAGGCTGAGAAATCCTGGTCTATATGATGATGGCTATACTTCTGAAAAGACAGACGAAACCGAAGCAAACAGTTGTATGTTACAAATCTTCAACACCAACAAATGTCACAGGAGTTCAAGGGAACACCTCCTTCTCTGCTGAAAAACACAGGATGGCTTCCCTGTATCTATCAAATCAGTGCAAATTCCTTTCCATGAAATTTACCATACCCCACTGCCTGGTCCCTTTCCATTCATCTGACCCTTTGTCCTTAACCACATAATGGATTGTGCATAATTCCTTCAACACTCCCCAAGTTTCCTTGCTCCATGCTCTTTGTCTCTAGGACTCCTTTCTTCTAAATCCTTTTCTCTGTCACTGTATATAATTCAAGTCATATTCTGTGTGTGTATGTGTGTGTGTGTGGGGGGATGTATGTGTGTGTGTTTGTGTGTTTGTGTGTGTGTGGGCTGGGGATTGAGTCCAGGGCTTCTGCATGCTAGCATGTGGTCTCCCACTGAGCTATACTCCTAGCTTTCAACTCAAAATTTTCAAGGATTATCTCAAATTTTTGTTCTCCTACAAAACTTTCCATTTGAAAGAACCATTTTCTCCCTGTGAATAGGATCTGACATGGCAGTTACTTGTTTTATGCCTTCTATCATTTTCTTTTTCACTGGATTCAGAGCTCCTTGAGGACAGGATCCACATCACCTTTATCTCTACGAGTTTTGCACACAGGGGATAACAAATGCTTAATGAGTTAAAAAAAAATTTTTTTTAAACTGGGAACTGAACCCAGGGCCTTGCACATGCTAAACACGTGTTCTACCTCTGAGCTACACTCCAGTCCCCCAACATTTTATTTAAAGGCAGGATTGTGTCTTAGTTTAGGTAAAAGGCAATAAAGGCAGAAAACAATCTGAATGCCAGTAGGAGTCCACAAAATAAAAGGAGGAAAGGCATGTTCAAAGACTGAATGCATTGCTATCAGACCCAATCTCTATTTAGCAACACTATGGAACAGATACAGTTTCATCCTGTTGATTCTGAAGTCATGCTCAAAGGCACAAAGGAAAACCTGGATGTCAGTGCCAGCTTTTTGAACGTAATAATGACCCACACACGCCCAACTGCTGAAACTTCCTAAGTCATTGAGACACTGATCCAAGAGCCTGTGTAAGTCTAGACATGCATATTATCAACACCCAGCACTGGCAATGAGCTGTGGTGAGACATTGTGTATAACCACACTGAGGTTCCCTGCACCGGGGTCTAGGCTCCATCCTGGGCGGAATCACTTCACTATTTACATCTTAAAGTAATCTCAACTCACAGGTTGAAGAGCATGCCTCTGATGGAAGAGCTACTGAAAACCACAGAAATTAACAAAATACATTAATATACATTGCATTTAGCTCTACTTAGAAATGAAAAAAATAACCTTATTCTCATTCTGATTCCTTCTGTACATAAGCCATGTTTGGCAAATCCAACTGTTTAATAATCCTGTGGCTGGGAGTGATGTGGTTCAGACAAACTTACCTTTCTTGTTAGAGGTTCTCAATGCCTGAGATAATGAATCAAAAGTAATTTTCTTTAAGCTTTTAGTCAGTTGAAGTGTATGGAAAAGAAAGCAGGTTTGCTTAAATACCAGATACATGACAAATTTCAATTTTGTCTTCAAGACTGAAGTATATTTGAGCAAACAGAGATTTCTCTACACCAACAGCTCCCTAGAAGATGTCCATATTAGGAAATCCTGACCTCAGAATCACTGTGCTGAGTGAGCCTGATAAGCTCACTTTTGAGCTGCTTTTTGTTTTGCTTATAATTCAGTTCGACCACAGCCTGTCAATCTGAACTTTTAAGAACCAAGTCTATGTACACAAATTGGCTAAGCAGAAAACTTGCCACAAAGGTGTTGCAACATCATGCTATCGTGGAAGTGATGGATTTAAGTCTGCTCTCTTTGCCAATTTTTGAAAAAACCTCTTAATGTTTTCCAAGATCCAAATTTCCAACTTATCCCTCCATGTATGCTTTTAGGGTTGTGTAGCCATATATCTTTCTGAGAACTTCTACCTTTTCAAGAAGACAGGAATATGATCCCCTTAAACAGTTATGAATCACCCAGTGCCTTAGATGAAGCATGATATGTGTCTGACTGATCACCCTGAGTCAGACGGGAGGAGCACTGAAACCACGAGCTGCCCCAGTGACTGCTATAACCAAGGTGGAACCCAGGAGAGGAGACTAGACAGACAGGCTTGCATTGGTCATGGGAATTATTTACCACCTACCACTTAGGACCAAGCTTCCTGGAGAAACTTTCATAATAACAATGGGGAGAACAGTCATTTCAGTTTGCCATGTGAGACTTGTAGTTTCTTATGGCTTTCCTACTGCTCCTGCCCAAACAAACTAAGCGAGCACTGTTCAAAATTTCACTAATAAAAGTGCATCAGATGTCACTCACTTTTTTTGTTGTTGTTTCTTTAATCAATGAAAAATGAAAACTGGTGCAGTGTGTGGGCACCACAAAATGTATCCTCTGGCCACCAGGTGGCACCGTTGATTTATAAGTTAATTAACTCCTGATCAAAGCCTGTCAGTAGCACAAAAGTAACAGAAACACACCAAGTGCAATCTCCAGGGATATACGCAAGTTAGCTTTTTACTCATGCAAGGCCAAGGATGAAAAGAGGAGGGCCTAGCAAATACAACACCTGGTTAAAGGTCTAACTTTTCTCTGTAAGTGTTCCTAGTAAGCCTTAGTACTCCTAGATTACCTCATCAGTCATTAGCCAACTGAAAAGAGAAACTATTCCGAAGCTCTACAATTAACCTTTACTAAAAATTAGTCATCAGTGGGAAGCTGGGACTTTCTACATTGAACTCCCAGTTGGATTCCTAGACTGTGTGCTGAAAAAGTGTTGGTGGCAGAGCACAGAGGAAATGAGCATATGAGGGGGTAACATTCCAGAAACAAGTGTTTCAAATTTAAGGATATTTCTTGCTTTGTGTTATTCAGATTTCTTCCTCCCTCCATAAATATTTAGTGAGCTCAGCAACACATACAGAATTACAGGATCCTGAGAAATCCTGGCTTGTAAAACAAAGTACAGACCATTTTAAAAACCCAAACAAACATCTAAGCATCAAGTTACAAGATTGACATCTTCAAGGCAGCTTGGTGAAGTAGTTGAGAGCCTTGAAAGGAAATCAGAAGATGGAAATTCTTACTCCCCTGGTCTAGTCATGTTGAGTCAAGGCTCAGTCCCTTAAAAATGCATTTTTATTCTTTTTTTTATTTAATTTTGTGGTGTTGGGGAACAAACCCAGGGCCTAACACATGCAAAGCAAGTGCTCTAACCACCGAGCTGCACCTCCAGCCTCCACAGCATTTTTGGATGTCAATATCCCCATACATAAAAGAATCAGGCTGGCAGGTTGGAAAACTATCTAATGACTCTCACTCTAAAGCACTGTGAGGCATACTTTGTTTAATTCTAAAATGCATTAGGAGAAATTTGGAGAGTCAAAAACAAAAGAGAAAACTTAAACCACGAATTAACACCTCTCTAAAATAATGAGTACAATTTTCAACCATTTCCTTTTCTTATAAATGCTCAATTTGACATAGTAATATATAGAATTTTACACTCCACTTTTGCCCATGATGACCTTCCCTTACATCTGTTGTCCAGGCAATAATTATAAATACCATTCTTTTTTGCTCTTGAAAGTTAACAGGTTCAGATGATAAGTGGTAAGTAGTGTTTGTTGTAGTACTGGTTCTTGAACCCAGGGGCTCTCTACCACTAAGCTACATCCCCAGCCCTTTTTATTTTTTTTT